ATGGCAATTAAATACATGAAATTGTATGAAATAAGAGTTCTGCTGCCATCCAAAAGGTCAGCAGTTCAAATCCACCAGCGGTTTCTTGGAAATCCTATGGGGCACTTCTACTCTGTCCTATAGGGTCGCTATGAGTCGGAATTGACTCGATGGCAACGGATTTTTTTTGTTTTTTGTTTTTTAATGTAGAGACAAAAGTTCTGAGACTGAGCCCTGGGGCATTCAACATTTACAGGTCAGTGATGTCGGCTGGGGAAATACTGAGGAAGGACCAGAAAACGAGACTGAGCCATAGGTGGAAAACCAGGTGAGTGTGGTAATCCGTGATATCTTGGAAGCCAAGTGAAGAAAGTGTTTCTAGGAGTTCTTTTCCTTAACTCTCTGAATTCTCAGACTTTGAACTGAGCCAGTCTGATGGTTCTGTGAGATCCCAAGATATCTAAATATCTATATACCTATCTAAGGAGCCCTGGTGGTGCAGTGGTTAAGTGCTTAGCTGCTAACTGAGAGGTGGGTGATTTGAACTCACCAGCCACACTCTGCAGGAGAAAAGACCTGGCAATCTACTCCTGTAAAGATTACAGCCTAGGAAACCCTATGGGGCAATTCTACTCTGTCCTATAGGGTCACTATGAGTTGGAATCAACTTCATGACAATGAGTTATACATCTATCTATACCTACATAAGAATTTCTATTTCTCCCAAGAAAACTCTACCTCGGACTAACTCCTCACAGTGGTTCTAGATGTTTCTGACCTGTCCGGAACTGCAGTGGAATTGAAGGTCAGAAGACCTAGTTTTTCATGCCAGCTCCACCTTTTACTACCAGTGTGATCCTTGGCAAATTACTTAACCTCCCTGTAAAATGATCGGAGCCAGGCCTACCTGCCCTTTCCCTAGGGAATGAAAGGATCTAAGGAGAGTTCATAAATGGATAAAATCCTCCATAGGCTGTAGAAGCAGTGTACTAAGGAAGGTATTTCTGATAGCAGTTCAGAGGGGCTAATGCTTTCTGGTACAAATGGGATGCCTGGGAAGCCAAGCCTCTTGGTTGGCAGATCCTGAAGGAATCAAGACACATGTTTCTGGCTGATGTGTCCTTTCTAAAGCTACTTTTCAGTAGGATATTTGTTCTTATGTAACTTTAAAAAAAAACAGTAACAGAATCTTATAAATAATGTGACTTTTATTTTTTTAAAAAACTATTCACTGTGGTAAGCCATAAAATAATGTGATACATTTATATAATTCTTTTCCAGACTAAGACCGTTATATCTTTATATTTAAACACATTGCAACCCTGTCACTTATAATTCCTTGAATGTATTGTGAAAAAAATAAGCAAAACAAAAAAAAATTAAGAAAGAGACTGTACTTATCAGTAAAGACTTTTTATGCATGATGCTTACTGCATTTTTATTTTTCAGTTATGCTGTCTTTCCAGTTCCCAACAAAAATAAATAAAAATTAACAATAGTTTGTAAATTATCTATATTCTCCTTCAATATCTTAAGGCACACAATTATCAAAGCTGATACTGAACATAAACAAATTGATACAATTCAGTACTCTGATAAAATTCAGTCAAATAAGTTACTTTAAACTGCATGCAATAACAACTTTATGTTCCATAGCATCTTAATATAAATTGTATACCAAAATGGCTCTTTAGACTTAAAAAGTGCAATAACAGAGTGCAAAAAAAAAAAGCAAAGAGAAAAATAAACTCTTACATTCAACATCATCCAATTTGCATTAACAGATGTTTTCGATACAATTATTCTTTAGTTAGAACATTAAAATGTACTCCAGAAACACAGTTCATACAAGTTATAACTCCCACTTCTGTCATATGAATAAAAGTAGAAAATATCAGAAAACAATGAACAGCAAATTAAACACATTTTTTTCCCCAAAATCTACAGAATGACACTGGAGCAATAATGACAAAGTGGATCAGATATGAGTCTTAAAAACTGCATTACTGAATTCAACAGAAATTAGACACTGGCATCATGTATTTGCTACAGAAAAATGGATACCTGGTGACAGCTGAATTTAGCTAGCTCTCTTCACAAGGACTCAAAAATAAAACCTCTGCACTAGGACATAGTCATACCGGAGCACCACATTTATTTCTCCCAGCACTTTGACTCTTGGCAGAGAGACGAGAGCAAAAGAATGGCTCGGAGAACAGTTGGGTTCTATATCAAAAAAGTGTAATATATTACATGAATCTGAATTTTAAAGCTAACCCTTTAGTATCAATCATAGAACTTTATGTTCTTGTTTATAGAGTGTGTTGGCTGGGTTTTTGTGTGGCATTGGTGAGAAATTATAAATTATGCATTTATGCATTTGAGTTTGCTTTTATTCTCAACATATCAGATATACATAGCCCCTTCTAGACATATATAGTGAGAAAACTGTACAATAAGGAATATAGATTAAACGTGAGCCAAAATCTTTCCCTTGTCTGTGGGAAACATGAGCTGGTAGCAATTGTTTGTTCAGTATCACCCTCATTAAAACAACTATTTTTTACTTATTTTCACCCATAAAAAGCAATCTGTGTCATACCTTTTTATTATTAAATATGCATTTGCATAAATATTAAATATCATTATAAATGCATTAAGTATGCATTTATAAATGAAGAGTTAACTCTTACACGGGGTAGTTGTTTAAGCATTCTTAAGATCAAAAACAGACAAAACTACTTGTATTTATCATGTAACATATATGAAAATGCTTACGCTGAATCAATATGACTCCCCTTTTGTAAATAAAATAAATGGATTACAGCAGCGTTCTTAGTCAATGTATTTTTTTGCAACAGTCAAGATCACTGAAAATAGACTTCCTTTACATACAATAGGTGCTCAATAAGTACGTGTAGCCTTTAAAATGTGTTCTTACACAACACATTTCACCTCAGTTATATTACATGGGATACAGAAATATCCTTTTAGATCCCATTAATTTTTAAAGTTTTGTCTTTATTTGATCTTGTTTATAAGTTTTATTTTATATATAGGTTTACAAAGCAACAAATGATTGTTATGCTATGATTCCTTGAGCTCAAGAGGTGTACGTATGTGTGGAGTGCATGTATATATATGTGTATATATGTGCATATATGTATATGTATAGATATGTATAAATACATATGTGTATATGTATATGTATGTGTGTATTATGTGTATATATATACATGTATATAGCTTGTTTCCCTATTAGTAAGGGACCAGACCCAGTACTTTGGATTAGAGTCATGTGAACATACAGGGAATATCATGCATGGATACAAACGAAGGCAAGTCTGAGCATCTGGCGCTCCAGAGGTCAGCCATCACTCATTATCTCTTTGTTGCCCTGGCACGTGCCAGGAAAAAAGCTGGGGAAGAACAGGCCCTCCCTGACCTGGTATGTGATCCAGAGAGATTCTTCCCAAAGATTTAGCATTCAATGAGGCAGCCTAGCGTGAGATCAAGAGGGTGGCAGCCGTGACTCATTTTGCAGTTGCCGAAAGTACTCTTATAACTCATGGAGACCTATGGGCTCAGAGCACAGAAGAAACCTTAGTCTCTTCCAAAATATAAGCAAACAATCGGAAAAAAAGGACCCTGGTTTCATCTCAGCTTTCATAGGAAGGTATATACATTATAAAAGATTTCAAATGAGTTTGCTCATTTGGAAAAAATACACTATGACATATTTTTTCCTATTTTTCTTACTCCCTGCATGAGGACATAATTTTAAATACAGAATTTTCAATTCTAGAAAAAGTAATTTACTGAGTTGATTTTAAGTTAAAACTCTTGTATAGAAAATGAAAGCACTGGATTTCCATCCCTAGACATTATAGAACTATTATCCTCAGTATACTGAAAAATGATTATGATCAATCTATCAAATTTTGGATTATGATTTAATCTTAGAATTCTTCAGCAGAACTTATGAAAATAAGTTCTCTAAAAAGAAACACCAAATGAGGTTTCAGTTGTGGATTTTTTCTAATTGTCTCATGAGCAAAAGTTATCTCACTTAAAAATGTTATACCATACCAAAAACAGGAACATCGTGAAGCTATAAAATACCCAGTATTTACATAAAGGGGCCCTGGTGGCACTGTGCTTAAGCATTTGGCTGCTAACCAATAGGTCAGCAGTTCAAATCCACCAGCCACTCCTTAGAAACCCTTTGCGGCAGTTCCGCTCTCTCCCATAAGGTCTCTATGAGTCGGAATCAACTCAATAGCAACGGTTTGGTTTATTTACATAAAAGAATATAAAATTAAGTTTTCCAATTCATTTTACTTAAAGAGAACCTGCTAAATGAGTGACTAGTATCCACAGGAGTTATGGGTTGGACTGGGGAACTGCACACTTCCCCTCTAGGCAGATAAGCTTAGAGTTATTGCTGAGGATAGAGATGGAGAGAGCTTGTTGCTGTTGTCAGCTGTCATCGAGTTGGCTTTAACTGATGGCAACCTTGTGTATAACAGAACAAAACATTGCCTAGTCCTGTGCTATCTTCATGATTTCTTGGCTTGGTTTGTTTCAAATGTGTAATGTTTAGCACATGACCTGTGTTTGCTTCGCCCCAATCCCTGTTGCCTTACCCTTCTAATACATGACCATGATATAGTCAAATCAATCATCACTGTTTTGAAGAGTAGGAAAAATATAGTTATTCAACTGATTTGACCATATATGTAGGTACAGAAATCTGTCATTTGTCAACATTCCTGAGCAATGACTTGGGCATTGCTCACTCCTGAGCAAGAGTCACAGTGCAGCAAGCATATAATCTTTGAAGTTTTAAATAAAGTATTTAGCCCAGGAAATTATTTCTTACAAAAATATAAATTTTCTTTCTATGTTAAATATTTTGTGTACGTTATACATTAGCAAATAATCTGTCAAAAATAAAAGAAAAATAAAAAATATTTCCACGTATATTACAAATACACGATTGTTGACCTGACACATGACCCCATATAAATATTAATAAAATAGGAGTATTAAAACTAACCAGGCATGCTGTGCATCCCCGCCCATAAACCTGCTGGCGCCAATCAGACTTGTGGCAATGTTGGATCCCCTGAGGTCACCCTTTCATATTCTTTCTTTGGTTCTTTACTTTTTCGGTTTCTGTACCTGGAAACATTCAGAAATGAAACTATTAGTATTGTAGTAAATAAGAACAAAGCGTGTTAACTAATGAAACAGATATATGGACAAAAAAGATACATTAGCATTAAGAAAACCCAAATCCGTTGCCGTCAAGTCAATTCCGACTCATAGTGACCCTATAGGACAGAGTGGAACTGTGCCATAGCATTTCCAGGGAGCAGCTGGTGAATTCGAACTGCTGACTTTTTGGTTAGCAACCGAGCTCTTAACTGCTGCACCACCAGGGCTCCATACATTAGCATAGTGCTCCCAAAATGACAAAAGTGAATAGGTTTAGGTTGGACAAGGAATAAAGGAGGGAGTAAGGGATATGACAAGGAGTGTTGGTGGCACCGTGGTTAAGCACTCAGCTGCTAGCTAAAAGGTCAGTGGTTTGCACTCACCAGCTGGTTCTGTGGGACAAAGATGTGCCAATCGGCTTCCGTAAAGATTACAGCTTTGGAAACCCTATGGGGCAGTTCTACCCTGTCCTATAGGGTCGCTGTGAGTCAGAATTGACTCGATGGCAATGCATTTTGGGTTTGGAAGGGATATGGCCCATGGTCAAGTAATATTGGGAGGAAATGGTGAAATACCATTAAAGGAACTTCTTGACTGCAGGACTTCTCAGAGGCTTTAACATGAAAAGGAATACTGTAAAGGTTACAAGAATGGCATGTGACTACACTTAAGCTTGAGTTTTTCTTTTCTCTTTCTCTTCTTCTCACTTCTTTTCTCTCTCCTCTCTTCCTTCTTATTTCTTCATTTTGCTGTCTAAAGGACCAGTATCTTGAATATTACACTAGATTAGGAAACACTACATTATTATTTTCTGCCCATCACATTGATACAATGTTATCACCAATCAAAATTAAAATAGCTAATATGTATTGGGCACTGGCAATGTTATAAATGTTAAAAATGCATTATTAATTTTATCCTTACATTTACCATTATTATCCTCATTTTACAGATGAAGGAAGTGAAGCACAAATGGGTTAAGTAAACCTGCCCAAGACCTCAAATCTAGGATTTATTTAAACACAGCTCCATCAAAACTCAGAATCTTCATTACAACTTTTCTTAAGCTATGTTCCTAATATTTCAAATCTAGTTTTTTGCCATTTAGAATATGAAGTATGTGGCCTTGAGGAAATTGCATAATGCCTATGCTTCTGTTCTGCCACTTGTCAACTATATGACCTGGGGCATGTCAATTTACCTGTCTAGGTCTCAGTTTTCCCATCTAGAAAGGAAAGGATTGTAGTCAAAGATCTTTCAAGTGTATTTCAGTTTTAATAATATCTAGTTTGTGATTATAACTGATCAGGAAAGCATTGTTATTTGATTAATGCTTACACTCAAACATGGGCAAAATAAATTTAATCTCATAATAGCACACTTTCAGACATTCAAAAGTAGGAATGTACTACTTACAGGAAAAAAAAAAAATCACTCAAATCTACACTGAACAATTTGTACCAGTTTCAAAATAAGGAAGATTTCCTGGAAACATTTTAAAGGCAACTGTTATCAACTAATTTACACATTGTTCTCATGCCCTGGTCCTAGCCCTAAGAAACTGCCAGTCTGATATACTGTTAGTAGTCTCAACATCCACTCTCTGTTTTTTCAGTTATCAGCATAGCGACATTATTGCATATGAGGATGGGATGTGACTGTTTGGGGGTCCGGGGTTGGCATGAAATATTTTCTAACAGTAAATGTTATAATTGTGGAGACTTGTTGTGTGCCATCGAGTCAATTCTGACTCATAGAGGCCCTATAAAACAGAATAGAATTGCCTCATAGGGTTTCCAAGGCTGTAATCTTTATGGAAGCAGACTGCTACATCTTTCTCTCGGGGGGTGGCTGATGGGTTCAAACTGACCATCTTTAGGTTAGCATCTGAGTACTTACCCACTGGGCCACTAGGGTTCTGTGCTGTAAATTTTACATTCTTGAGCCCCCCGGGTTATTAATTTACAAAGCTATGTTTTATGTAATAAAAATTTGTTGTTAGTTGCCTTTGTGTTGGCTGTAGCTCATGGCAACCTTAGGAATAACAAAACGAAATGTTGCCCAGTCCCGTGCTATCTTCATGATCTTCGATGTTTGAGCCCATTGTTGTGGCAATTGTGTCAGTCCATCTCACTGAGGGTTTCCCTCGTTTTTGCAGACGCTCTGCTTTACCAAATATGATGTCCTCTTCTGGGGATTGGTCTTTCCAGCACTATATTAGATAATGTTCCGTTGCTATCTATAAGGTTTTCATTGGCTAATTTTTGGAAGTAGGTCTCTAGACCTTTCTTCCTAGTCTATCTTGGTCTGAAAGGTCCACTGAAACCTGTCCACTATGGGTGACCCTGCTGGTATTTGAAATGCATTGGCATAGCTTTCAGCATCATAGCAACACTTAAGCCACCCCAGTATGACAAAGCTGAGACAGGTGGTAGAACACAAAATTAGGTCCTAATAAATTAAATACAGGCAGCTAATATTAACATCATGCCCTTGGTTACTTTCACATATATTATCACAGTCTATAGTTAGTAAGAAGCATTTTCATCTTTTTCTTTTTTTAAGAGGAAGGAACTAAGATTCCAAGTTTGATCTGCATAAGGTCACATAGATAATAAGTGATAGAGCTAGTAATAGAATCAAATCCTGATATTCTGCCTCTAAAACATCTTTGTAATTATCATCAATCCAGATTCTATTTTTGCCCTAAATAATACTTTGTCCTTATTTGTACCCAATTTATACGTCTTTTTTGTGTGTGCGCGTGTGAAAGACGTACGAAAGTAATTTATAGGCAGGGTGTAAAAAAACCATCTTACCATCTGCAGAAGTAGTATATGCAACCTGTGACTGTGATAAGAAAAAAAATAGTAAGAATCACAGTCAAAGCCACATATTCTTTGCTCAAGGGTTGGTGGACAGTTAAAAAGAAGTGTTCACATCGGACACCGGTGTATCCCACCTCACACCTAAAGGAAAATGCAAGAGAAAGATTAATTATTTAGGGGAAAAAATCAAGGCTATGAATTAGTTTTGTGAGAACTAATTTCACACTACAATGCAAGAAATCAACAAAGGTTTACCAAAAGCAGTAAGGATGAATTCAAAGAGTGACCTAAGGGCTGGGCCAACATTGATAAAAGAGCTCCACATAGCACTCAGGCTACATATATTGTGGTTTTAAAAAGATCTGGTTTAGCTGCCAGGGTGGCTGACAATCTAGAATAGTGTTTTATAAGTTCTGTAGGTTTGGGGTGTTTTTTGTCTAAATCAGTGGGATGGATTCTTAAAACAACGGCTTAGATAGAAGTCCAATGAAAAGAGATGTCCATGTGGAAGGGAGGTATGCGAAGTCCTCCCCTCTCTGCACCCTTGAAGTAAGTCTACAATTGAAAACTGATTCCTCATTTAAAAAACTCAGTTAATAAAAGTTTCTAATAGTACACAGAAACTGCATTCTAACAGCCCACGGAAGTATAGGGTGACTTCGAAAGATAAAAGAGAGAGAAAAATATAGGTTTTTTAAAACTTTTTTTGAGGGGATGGCATATTACCTGCAGTAATGTTCTCTCATGTCCACCAGGTAGATGCACTGTCCATGCAAACAGTAGCCATTCATGTCAGAGCCACACTTTGTTATTGATACTTGAGCAACCCGGGGATTGTCTTCTGTCTGAACTGTGGAGGAAGTGAGAAGTTGGATATATTCTGTTGCCTTCTTTAAAGCATTACTCACCCTTTCATAATAGTAACCACTGAGCTACTTCAAGAAAGCAGGTCATATGCCAATCAATTGGAGAGGATTTTCAGAAGTAGGAAGTCACTCTCCCTAGACCAATAAGGAGTCCCTGGGTGGTGCCAATGGTTAACACACTCTGCTGCTAACTGAAAGGCTGGAGGTTCAAGTCCACTTAGAGGCACCCTGGAAGAAAGGCCTAGCAATCTATTTCCAAAACATCGGCCATTTAAAACCCGAGGGAGCACAGTTCAACTCTGACATACATGAGTAGGCATTGACTCCACAGCAGCTGGTTGGATCCATAAACAAACATCTGACCCAAAAGGAAAATGTCCAACAGTCTAAACAAAACAAAATAAAACCTGAAGATTTAATTCTTAAAAGACAAGCTTTAAAGAATAGAAGAAGTTTAAATTCTAGGGTGCACACAAAAAGCATTACCCTCCAAAGTAGATATTCATTACTTTTCCACACAAAGTTTGTCTAGATTTTTCCAGTCTCAAAATAATTCTGAAACTCATCACTCCAAAAGCAAATTGAAAGCTGAAACCATTAGTTAATTCAAGAGCGCTTAATTTTATAGTGGCTTTTTAAGCCAGTAAGACTTGTTTTGGTGTGCATCTCCAAATTTTTGAGGTTACCATCAAAGAAGTCAATCAAGGTCTGCAACATATCTAATAACAGCTGACACTAACTAGACAAACTCTGAGTGAGAAATGCCTGTCGGGCAAATGTAACCTTGAAAAAAAGAAGCCTCATTAGAAACAGTGTTGTAACCTACATTTAAATTTTACTTTTGAATGTTTTAGCTACTAAAATGTGAAGGATGCATATGAAATAACCAAAAAACGGCATTTGGTTATAATACTCTTACTCAAATAACAGCAACAAAAAAAAAAAAAAAAAAAAGCAAGAGAAGAATGAGAGGCAGACAAAACCTCCAGGAAGCCCACTGATGAAGAAGGACAAGAGAGAAGGTGAAGTTGTTTGGAAAATATCCTAGTTCCTCAAGGCAACCTTTGACCCAATAGCTCGGATTAAATATAAAGCAGATCTTCTTTGGACCACATTTAGAGTTCATTGGGGCTCCCTGAGGTTGGTGGTTTGAATTCACCCAGGGGTGCAGTGCCTTGGAAGAAAGGCCTAGCAATCTATTTGCAAAAGATTACAGACATTGATAACTCAAGGATGAAGTTCTACTCTGAAATACATGGGGTCACCATGAGATGGAACTGACTCAACAGCAACTGGTTGGCTGGCTGATTTGGGGTCCTTGAGAAAAAAATATTATGTCTTATTTATCTCTATATCCCCCATGCGAAAGGATAATGTTTAGCATGTATTAAACAAACAGATAAACAAAAAACCCAAACCCGTTGCCATCGAGTTCATTCCTATGCATAACGACCCCATAAGACAGAGTAGAACTGCCGCATAGGGTTTCTAAGGAGTGGCTGGTGGATTCCAACTGCCGACCCTTTGGTTAGCAGCCAAGCTCTTAACCGCTACACCACCAGGGCCCCTTGGCATGTATTAAAGTACTCAATATTTTTTGAATAAACAATGTGACTGGGAAAAAAAATGACATAATTTGTTCCTCTTAGCAAAAAAAAAAAGAGTATCTACTGTGTACAAAGTGTACATATTCCTGCCTTGCCGGATATCTAACCCATCTTTTTGACCTCTAATGATTGTATCGAAGCAAGGATCCAGTGAATGGCCAAAAAGAATCTCACTTTCTTGGTTCCCTATCTCTTTAAGACCAAATCTTTGTATATAACTAGATGCCTGCTCCCTCTCCCATCAGTTTTTCCTTTACATAATTTCCCTAGTCCCCATGAGGGGGTAAAAAAATTCCTTTGTTATTACAACAGGTATTTTTCCTTTTTTCCAGTGGCACATACTTATGGTCTTTGAGTTTACTATGCTGTAAAAAAAAATGTGTAATCCTTTGATGCAACATCAGCAAAGTTGGGTTTACCTAAAGCTGTGCAGTTATCCT